ATTGTGTCAAGACTATATATAGCCTCGTGTTGTACCCAGGTGGATCATCCAATACATTTCCCATTTTCTGAACTCGATCCTATCAATCCTCACACTTGGTAGTCAGAGCTCGTTTGCACGCGAAGTTTTTCGACCGCTAAAGATCAGTCTTAAAACCCGCGTCTCATATTTACAACGGTATTACACTTGGTTGGGCAAAGGCACCTGTGATTGGGTAACGAGGGGCGAGTTTGTGACGAGCAGTTTGGAAAAGAGAAGCGAAGCCCCTCTTTGTCAAGGCAAACGCCAAACAAACCTCCCAGGCATGGAACACTCCACACCTAGAAAACAGGTTTGGCAGAATCGCAGTTGCGTGCGACGAGCCAAAACAACACACAGTCGCCCACTTTCACCCCCAACCCCCAGACAGTCGCATGGAGAGCAGAGCACAACCACCTAGTACCTCATATTTTAGACCAACAGATAGCAGGCGCAGGGAAAGTCTAGTAACCCTAGTGCCTCCTTGTCTCACGCAAATACAACATTTTCCCCGTCGTCAGCCGTTCCGCGTCCGATGGTTCGTGTACAAACGTGCTGCCCTGTCCTGCCTTCTACCAGCTGTTCACATCAAGACCTATTGAAACGTTGCTGGCAGGGAAGTAGCAGCCTTAGTAGGCTAGGAAAACGAGGATAGAGTGCTCTCTGGAGTTCTCTGGAAATTGCACTATGACTTCACAAATTTCACAGTACAATTTTATAGAGCACATTCAAATATCGAGTCGCACTCCCAAGTCGCGACTCTCTCTGAATTTCTCAATGGTAACCCAACCCCTTTGAAATGAACCTGCCGTGAAATTCAGAGAATTATTGCGGTACGGGATTGGACGGCGAGCTTGGTTACGGGGCTGTAATTTCGTCGGTGTTGTTGGCGAAGTCGGCGAGCGGTCGGAACTTCGGTGTTCTGCGTTTCGTAATTTTCGCGCGAGGGTTTGTGTTGGGCTGCGCGTCAGGACCTGGTCGCCCAGCTGCAGGTTGAGGCGTTTGACCAATACGAACAGTTGGTGAGGTGGCGCTTGACTTCCGCCCACCTGCACTGTACTTGGCAGCATTCGGCTGCCACACTGTTACATTACTTCCCCCTCCAAGTGGCGCCGTCCACGGCGCCAAACCGTGGCTGGTCAAATACCGATTCACAGCAATTGCGGCACGGTCAAGGTGGCTCTCTGGTTCCCATGAGTCGTCACTAGTAGGCTGGTCCTTCCAATGAACAAGAAACTCGCGACCATGAGGTGTGTCGCGATGTGCAGCGATAGATGCAACCTCAAACAGGCCAGGGCTGCCTTCGAACATCGGTGGCAGTTGGCGTGTGGCTGGACGGTCGTGTGAAGGTGCACGGAAAGGGCGGAGGCGCTGGACATGGAAGACGGGGTGAATCTTCATATAGCTGGGCAGTTGGAGACGGTAGGTGACTGGTGAGAGGACTCGGGTGATGGTGAACGGGCCAATAAAGCGAGGGGCGAGTTTTCTGGTTGTGCCTTTGCGTAGGAGAGGTAGGTGGTCAGTGGAGAGTAACACTTGATCGCCAACCTTGAAGCGTATATATTGGCATAGTGGGTCTGTTTGGCTTGAGCTTTAAGGATGGAGGTGCGAGCGGCATCAATGGCTGATTCGAGTGAGGTGAGGAACTCAAAGGCTGCTGGTGCGTGGGAGAGGTGGGGGGGTGGGGTCATGGGGAGGCGGGGGTGCTGTCCGGTTGCGAGGTAGAAGGGTGGCTGGCCGGTGGAAAGGTGGGGTGTGCTGTTGTATGCGAGTTCGATGGCGGTGAGGTGGAGATCCCAATCAGTTTGGCGAGCAGTAACTTGTGCACGGAGGGAGTCTTCAAGCGTGCGGTTCATCCGTTCGGTTTGTCCGTCCGTTTCAGGGTGATACGCGGTAGAAAACTTCAGCCGGGTTCCGTGAAGCTTGAAGAGGCTCTGCCAAAAGTTACTCAAGAAGCGGGGGTCACGGTCTGAAATGATGGCGGATGGGAGACCATGTAGGCGGACTATGTGATCGAAGAAGAGTCGGGCTGTTTCGGGTGCGGTGACGGTTGTGTGGGTAGGAATGAAGTGGCTCATTTTGGAGAGTCGGTCGACGACGACTAGGATAGCGTTGTAGCTGCGGGGTGTGCGGGGCAGATCCATGATGAAGTCCATGGTGACTTCATCCCACACTTTGGTAGGTGGAGGGATGGGCTGAAGGAGTCCGTAGCGGTTGGTGGTGCGTGCTTTGAGTTGTTGGCAGGTGCGGCAGGTGCGTATGAAGTCACGCACATCAGCATGCATGCGTGGCCAATGGTAGTCGTTGGAGAGGCGTGCGTAGGTCTTCTCAACACCAAAGTGGCTGCCGGTAACGGTGTCGTGGTATTCGGAGAGTAGCAGCTGTCGTAAGGAGCGATCTGCAGGGACACAAATGGTCTTGGTGACGGTGTTGTACCAAAATGGGTCTTCAAATGAGTAGGCCGGGTCCTCGGGTGCTTGCTTGACAAAAAACAGGTCACGTTTGTAGGCGCGCTGAAATTTCGTGATGAAGGTATCATCCCAAGTGATGCTGCTGATTCCATGGAGTTGCAAGGGTGGGTTCGGAGTGTGAGGTGGAGGTGATGAGGTGGGGCTGGTTGGGGAGTGGTGGGGCTGGTTGGTGGTTGGTTTGGGCTGGTCGGTGGGTGGTGGGGCTGGTGGTGGTGGTCGGGACAAGATGTCGGCTGGGTTGAGTTTTCCGGGGCGGTAGATAATCTGAAGTGAGGGTACGAACTGCTCCAAAAACTCAGCCCATCGGGCTTGGCGGCGGCTGAGCACGGGCTGTGTTTTCAAGTGTTGAAGAGGGCGGTGGTCGGTGTAGACGGTGACGGGATGCAGCTCCACGTAACAGCGCCATGTCTTGATTGCGTGGACAATGGCAAGGAGCTCCCGATCGTGTGTTGCGTAGTTGCGCTCTGCCGGTTGAAGCTTGCGTGACTTGAAAGCGAGTGGCTGCATCCCATGGCCGTGGTCTTGGCAAAGAATGGCACCGACAGCGACATCGGAAGCATCGGTCCATATGAAGTATGGGCGTGAAGGGTCGGCGACGGTGAGGACCGGTGCAGAGGTGAGTGCTGATTTGATTGAGTTGAAAGCGGTCTGCTGCGGTAGTCCCCATTGAAAGGCAGCTCCTTGACGGAAGAGATCAGTCAAAGGGGCGCAGATGTGAGAGAAGTTGAAAATGAATTTCCGGTAATACTTGGCGAGGCCGATGAAACTTTGCAGCTCCGCTACCGTGCGTGGGGCTGGCCAATCAGCAAGGCACTGGACCTTTGCGGGGTCCATAGCAATGCCTTTGGAGCTGATGACATGGCCGAGAAAGCCGATGCTTGAACGGGCGAAGGTGCACTTGGAGAGCTTGGCGTAGAGGCGGTGTTGGCGAAGCGTGTCGAGGACGATGCGTAGGTGCTGAGCGTGTTCCTCGAGTGACTTGCTGAAAATGAGGATGTCATCGAGGAACACGATGACAAAGCGGTCGAGGAAGGGCCGAAAAATGTCGTTCATGAGTCCCATGAACGTGGCTGGTGCGTTGGTGAGGCCGAACGGAAGTACGCGGAACTCGAAGTGGCCGTAGCGGGTTCGAAACGCCGTCTTGTTGATGTCGTCTTCGGCGAGCCGGATCTGGTGGTAACCGGAGCGTAGGTCGAGCTTGCTGAAAACTGTTGCTTCCCCAAGCATGTCGAACAACTCCTCGACACGGGGCAGCGGGTACTTATTCTTGATTGTGATGGCGTTGAGGGCGCGGTAGTCGATGCAAAGGCGCAGGTCACCTTCCTTCTTGCGGGTGAAAAGCACGGGGGCAGCGTATGGTGAGGTGCTTGGGCGGATGAAACCCTTCTCGAGAAGGTCATCGAGTTGATGTCGGAGCTCCAAAATTTCAGCGGTGCTCATGCGATAGGTTGGGCGCACGGGCGGTGTAGAACCTGGAATGAGGCGGATGCTATGGTCAATAGCACGCTCGGGTGGAAGTTCGGCGGGAAGATCTTCGGGGAAGACGTCGGTGTAGCCTTGGAGTAACTTCTGTATAGGTGATGGGAGAGAGTTGGGTGATGGTTCAGATTCGGGAGCGGTGAAGATGACTAGGAGATGATGAGGAGGAGGTGGTGATGGAGGGGTGGGGGCTGATGGATTGATAACTTCAGAGGCGGGGCGGATGATGGGACGTCGTGGCTGCTGGGTTGGGTGGGGTGGAGAAGGAGGAGGTGTGTTGATCACTTCGGGGGAGCCGGGTGGTGTTGGCTGCTGCACGGGAGCTATGCGAGGAGGAGGGAGAGGGGGGATATGGGAAGATGGAGATGGGGCAGGTTGGGGTGGATGGGTTGATGAAGCGGAACTGGTTGGGGATGACCATGGTCGGCGAAAGGAGTGGGATGGGAGGTCGTAGTTGCCGACGGTGACAGTTCCGTTGCGCCAATAAATCCGCGGTCCAAACTGGTGCAACCATGGTCGACCGATAACGCCTTCGTACCCGCCGAGGTGCAGTTGCTCGAACGTGACCGTCGCCTCCAAGCTTCCAAACATGCAATGCACAGGGAGGAGAGTAGGTCCGCAGCGCCGCCGAGTACCATCTGCCATGATCACGTCCTGCGGGTTGCTGTTGGGATCTTCGGGGAGAGAAAGTTCAGCAGCAATTGAGGGAGAGAGGAAATTTGCTGAAGCGCCGGTATCGAGCAAAAAGTCAACGTAGCGATTCTTTATTTTTGCGTATAGAATGATGGCGGGGAATGGAGCGTTGGATGTGGTGTAGAGTTCAGAGGTGCCGATGAATAATGGAGTCGGGAGAAGCGGGGCATGCGATGCGCCAGAGGTCTGCCCCACTGCTACTGGCGCTGTCCGTTTCCCGGAGACCTTTCGAAGTTGCGGCGGTTCGGGCAATGTCGCTTGATGTGGCCGACTTTCCCGCATGAGTAGCACGTAAGCGTGGACTGGTTGCGTGCACGCTGTTCCACCACACCGAGCTCCATGGGAGAAGGACCGTTGGTGCGGTAGGTAGGTCCAGCAGTGGTGTGCTGCCCGGTTCGTCCTTGGAATCGCTGGTATGCTGCAAAGTTGATGGTGTCAAAACGCTCGGCGACACGAATTATCTCATCCAACGTCGTAGCGCCGCGGAGTTCGACCTCGGTGCGGATTTTCGGCTTCAGCCCACGCTTGAATTTTTCCATCTGTTCAGCAGCAGGGATGTCAGGGATCTCAAGCACGAGCTCGCGGAAGCGGTTGATGTACTCAGCGACCGAGCGATGTTGGCGTAATTCAGCGAGGTTGTCACGTGCGCGCTCGATGGAGTTGACCGGCTCGAAGTTCATTAATAGCGATGCAGAAAACTCTTCCCAAGTTGAAATCGTAGCATGGCAACTCTGCCACCAAGTAGCAGCTGCACCCCTCAGCATCATGCCGGCGTGCCGAGCCCACTCCGCCCGGTTGACATGACAAAGGGAGAGGTATTCCTCCACTTGGAAAAGCCACCGTCGCACAGGTAAGTGACGTTTTCCAGGGATGAACGGCTCAGGTTCGGGTGCTTTGGGTCGTGCAGAAACCACAGCAGGTGCTGGCGTCGGCACCTGTGTGCCCAGGAGTCCACGTTCCTGGAGTTCGCAGAGGATCCGGTCACGCACCTCGCGTTCAATTTCTCGGCGCATATTCGCCACAAATTCGTTCCAGAGTTCCGGCGTCATATCAGACGGTCCGGCCATAGGGTCTAGAATATGTCGGGAGCGTGCGAAATAACTAACCAGGCTCTGATTACCAGTGAAACGTTGCTGGCAGGGAAGTAGCAGCCTTAGTAGGCTAGGAAAACGATAGAGTGCTCTCTGGAGTTCTCTGGAAATTGCACTATGACTTCACAAATTTCACAGTACAATTTTATAGAGCACATTCAAATATCGAGTCGCACTCCCAAGTCGCGACTCTCTTTGAATTTCTCAATGGTAACCCAACCCCTTTGAAATGAACCTGCCGTGAAATTCAGAGAATTATTGCGGTACGGGATTGGACGGCGAGCTTGGTTACGGGGCTGTAATTTCGTCGGTGTTGTTGGCGAAGTCGGCGAGCGGTCGGAACTTCGGTGTTCTGCGTTTCGTAATTTTCGCGCGAGGGTTTGTGTTGGGCTGCGCGTCAGGACCTGGTCGCCCAGCTGCAGGTTGAGGCGTTTGACCAATACGAACAGTTGGTGAGGTGGCGCTTGACTTCCGCCCACCTGCACTGTACTTGGCAGCCACACTGTTACACCTATTGCGACTTACACTGATCGAAATTCCTTGCGACTTACCTGCTGGCTCGACATCGAATAGCGTATGACCAGTTCGCCATTTGCCTTCTAGTACTTGCTCCTTCGCGTGGCCGAATACGACCTCGTTCTGATCGCCGAGGTGCGTGCGACGCCTCTGTCGCGCAGTGTGTCGCCCGCTGCGTCGCCCACTGATTCCTAGAAATTGCGAGAGTTCTCGAAACAACTCTGTATCTTGACTTGGCCTCACTCTCCCCTCTCTTCCTCCCCCCCAAACCCGTTTCCCCTCCCCTCCCTCCCCACCCCACCCCACTCCGCTCCGCCCTGCTTCCCCATCGACCAGTCGCACCTAAGCTCTCACAATCTTCAGTCTGCCCTCCGTCTCACTGCGCCCGAAGCAAGCACCTATCCACAACCACACCCATTCTCTCTCCCCTTTCTCCCCACTCTCCCCCCTCTCCCCACTCCCCTCTCCCCTCTCCCTCCCCCCCTCCCCTCCGCCCTCGCCCTCCCCCTACTCCCCTCTCCCCCCTCCCCGCCCCTCTCCCTCTCCTCTCCCCCCTCTCTCCCCCTCCCCAGGGCAGCATGGCAGCGCGGCTGGTGGCGTTGTGCGGAATGGAGGCGCTAGCAGTGGCGGCGGGGTTCTCGCTCAAGGTCCTTTGGCTCACAGACGCGCCCGTGCACGCCGCTCCCTTCTCCTCGCTCTTCTCCCTCCCCGCCCACCCCAAGATCTCCAAACCGGACCTTCGGTGAGTGACGGGTGGGGGGGAAGTGGGGAGAAGGAGGAGAGAGAGAGGGGGAGGGGAGGGATGATTTGGCTGGGTGGGCCTTGGGATGGGCCTCGGTTTTTTTGCTACCCCGAGCCTTTCACTCTGCATTCATTCATCCCTCCTCCCTCCCTCTCAACCTCCCTCTCCCTGTCACAAACCCCCCGCCTTTCCGTTCCTGTCACAATAACTCTCTGTCTGTCTACCACAAGCCATTCTTTCTCCCTTGTCTTCCTCTAACCCGCTCCTTTCCTTCCCTCGTCCCCCATCCCTCTGACGCATGCGTGGCATCAGGTGGGCAGTGGAGGACGTGTCGCCTGAGTGTGTGGCAGGGCCGCTGCTGCGGTCCCCACCACATGGCTTCAAGTACAAAGCAGTAAGGCCCTGGGGAGGGGACTGATGGCATGCATGCATGCAGGACAGTAGGCTGCTTCCTATGCTGTGCACAGAGATTGCCCTTTTATACCGAGTTAGCGTTGCACTCACCCCATGCTCTTTTCTTTCATCTGTTCGTGCGCCGCTGCTTTCCTCTCCTCCTTAGCTCCTCCTTCCTCCCTCCCTCCCCACTCCTCCTCTGCCCTATTCAGGCGTCAGTGGGGGACTGTGGGGCGGCGACATGAGTGGGAGGCAGCGCCCCAAGCGGGGTGTTCCGCATGCCCGTCAGACTGCTTGTGTCCACTCGAGCTAGCATGTGGGATGGATGGGTATGATGCAGCGTGCAGGACAAGGCATGGATGGGGCACGGCAGAGCAACGAGTGGGATGGGTGTTTTGCATGCCAGTCAGACTGCTTGTGTCCACTCGAGCCAGCACGTGGGACGGATGGGTGGGTGTGACGCAGGGCGCAGGGCAAGGGATGGTTGGGGCAGTGCAGGGCAGGGCAGGGCAGAGCACTGGGTGATGGGCGCAGCATGGGGAAAAAATTGTGTCCAATACAAGCAATTTTTTTATTTTCAGTACCTGGATCCGCGTCTGATCCCCCATGCTTTTGTTGCGCGGAATGGCAGCATGTTCCACCCTCCTGCCTTTCACGTGCTTCCGTCTCTCCTTGCAACCACCACCACCCTCCCCTGCTCGCGCCCAACCTTCCCGCCCTTTCGCGCCCGTCATGCGACTTGTGAGTCGATTGCCCAATCTTACCCTTCCCCTTACGCGCCCATCACGTGCGGGACCCGTGTTGGATGGCGGACGAGCTGGCAGCGTGTCTGCACTTACTGCATCCCTCACCAGCCGTGGCGCGCCTGCTTGCAGATGAGGATATTCCACGCGTGCAGCGCTCCACTGCTGCTTTCCTTGAGGTGCCCCACTTTCTTCCCGCCCTACCTTCCCTGCACTACACGCATTGACTTCTCCTACCTACCTGCCTAACCACCTGCTGAGGTTACAAACACACTCTTCTTCTCATCGATCCTTCTTGCCTCTTCCCACTTCCGTCCCCCTTTCCTCCTGTCCCCACCCCATCCCTACCCAGTCCCCACCCCCATCTCCAACCCCCCAACCCCACCCTCATTTCCACCCACATCCCCAACCCCCCATCCCCATCCCCACCCCACAGCACACCAGGACACCCCTCTGGACTCCTGCGCCGGCTGTCCCGCCAACATCTCCCAGATCATCCCGCCCTTCTCCCACCCTCCCACTCTCCTCCTCCCGCCCGGAGCCGTCCTACCTTCTCCATCTGCCCTCCCTTCCCATCTTGCGTGCCAACCTCCCTTCCTTCCATGACCCCTACCCTCCTTGTCCCCCCTTCCTACCATGTTTCTCATCCCTGGAGCCTTCCTTCCTCCCGTCACCCCCTCCCTTAGTTCCAGCTACAAGCAGGACTAAGCTAGTCCCCGGCGAGCCTGGCGGCATGCAGCAGATGCACGGCCAGACGCACGAAGGCGACGCCGCCGCATGAGGAAAGTTGTACTTCGTATTTTTTAGATAATATACAAGTGTATACAATCAATAGGCTCTTTACGTCAGTGCCGTGCTCAATTGCTACTTCAAAGATGCATTGAAGCAATCTGAGTGTCAATTTCAATATACTATTGAAAGACAAGAGACTATGAGAGTTCAGCAAGCTTACTTTGCCAACAACTGAGTTCAAATCTACGCATTAGTCACAAAATTAGGATTCAACCTGTTTGTGGCGCCATGCTGGAACAAGCACGTCAACAGATGGGGCAATAGGGGAAGTAGGGGGGAGACAAGTGGGGAAAGCGAGGTGAGGCTTGGGAGGAAAGCGAGGTGAGGCAAGGGAGGAAAGCGAGGTGAGGCATGGGAGGAAAGGGAGGTGATAGCAGAGGGGGAAGGGAGGTGATATCAGAGGGGGAAGGGAGGTGATAGCAGAGGGGGAAGGGAGGTGATAGCAGAGGGGGAAGGGAGGTGATAGCAGAGGGGGAAGGGAGGTGATAGCAGAGGGGGAAGGGAGGTGATAGCAGAGGGGGAAGGGAGGTGATAGCAGAGGGGGAAGGGAGGTGATAGCAGAGGGGGAAGGGAGGTGATAGCAGAGGGGGAAGGGAGGTGATAGCAGAGGGGGAAGGGAGGTGATAGCAGAGGGGGAAGGGAGGTGATAGCAGAGGGGGAAGGGAGGTGATAGCAGAGGGGGAAGGGAGGTGATAGCAGAAGGGGCAGCAAAGGGGGATGCTGGGAAGGGGGATGGGGGAAAGGGAAAGGGGGATGCTGGGACGGGAAGGGGGATGGGGAAAAGGGAAAGGGGGATGCTGGGACGGGAAGGGGGATGGGGGAAATGGAAAGGGGGATGCTGTTGTGGGGAGGGGAATGGAGGAAAGAGAAAGGGGGATGAGGGGAAGGGCATGGGAGACGGGGGTAAGGAAAAGGGGATGTGGCAGATGTGCGCCTGTTGAGACTGAACCCCTTCCCACCCACAGGGTGTGCCCTCCCGTCCCCTCTGCTCTCGACGCCCCTCCTCTCGTCCCCGCCCGTTCCGACCCCTCCTCTCTCGTCGCGTCCCCTCCTCTCTCGTCGCGTCCCCTCCTCTCTCGTCGTGTCCCCTCCTCTCTCGTCGCGTCCCCTCCTCTCTCGTCGCGTCCCCTCCTCTCTCGTCGCGTCCCCTCCTCTCTCGTCGCGTCCCCTCCTCTCTCGTCGCGTCCCCTCCTCTCTCGTCGCATCCCCTCCTCTCTCGTCGCGTCCCCTCCTCTCTCGTCGCATCCCCTCCTCTCTCGTCGCGTCCCCTCCTCTCTCGTCGCGTGGCCTTATCTCTCGTCGCGGCCTCTCCCGTCCCGTCTAGTCTCGGCGCGACTCTTCCCGTCCGCGACGGCGACGGCGACGGCGGCGGCGATGGCGCTCGCCTTGCTGCCTTCCTCTCCGCTTCCGCCGATGCCGCTACGCTACCGCTTCCGCCGATGCCGCTACGCTACCGCTTCCGCCGACGCCTCTCTCTCTCCGCTTTCGCCGATGTCGCTCCGCTACCGGTTCCGCTCTCATTGTGCTTGCCTAACATCCCTTCCATCCCATAGCCCCTACCTTCCTCCCCATCTCCCGTCCCTCCCTTCCAATCCCAGCGCGTCCCTTCCCGTCCGGTCACGTCTTCCCGTGTTCTTCATTCCGCCTTTTATCGTCCCGTTGTGTGCACGCGAATATGCTATTGCTATGCTCTTTATAAACCATATTCTACTATGGTGCCGCTTTCTTCTCGTGCTTTTCGCGCAGCAATTTGCAGTACGATGTACCCAGTCAATCGCCCGTCCGTACGAACGCATATCTGCCTGAAATGATACCCCATACGACTGAAGGTGGAACGTAAGAGGCATTGCATCTAAGGCCTGCATAAGAAAAGCCATGAACAAAATATAGCCTAAACTAAGTCGCTGAAAAAAGACTAGGCCTGGACTAGGTAGTGGTTGAGTGTAGGTCTCTCTCCTCCCCAGGTGCAGGGGGAATGATTCGGAGTCATATTTTTCAGCTGTGGTAATACGCTTGCTTCTCTGTGTTTACCTTCGTCGCACAAGGTGGTGTGTTTTCGCGCAAATACGTTGGTTAGTCGTGCATCTGCCTTGCCTAACCTGATGGGGCTGCAACCAATCACAGGGGCTCCCAACCAAACCCAACACAGTGGCGACTCATTTTGTGGTTACCCGGTTTCGACCGTATTACTCTTGGTTGGAAGGAAGAAATATGAGACGCGGGTTTTAAAAAACCGCGGGGGCGACGAATGTTAAACACCGATTTCGGGTACGTAAAACCAGTTCCGTCCCCTTCGATTTCGGTTTTCATACGCGATGTAAGGAATGGAGGGCGCGGGCGACAATTTCGTAAAAGAAGTCGCAACCTTTTGCACGGAGATGGACTAGACGAGGGCGGCGCTCCAACGAATAGAGGCGCTCCTCGCGAACTAGTCGGCAGCCGCCACGGCAGCATCGAATGCAACAGTGAATGCAGCGGCAACGGAAGCAGCAGCAGCGATGACATCGACATTTTACGCAGCAGTGGTGGCACCCGCTTCGCCGAACCTTGAAGCGCTCGATCCGAACGCGAAGGGGTCAGACGTTCGACGATTCGTGGCTACAATCGAAAATTAATTCGAGGCCATTGGTCGTACAACCCCGACAAATGACACAGCAAGGATTCAGCTCGCAGCGGGCCTGTTGCGAGGCCCAGCACTCAAATAGGTGTATCATAGTGACGTGGTCCGAGGCGAGGGATCGTGGTTGTCGAACTTATATGCTATAGTCTTTCTAGGCTGTAGTGGGGTAGACAGTATGGGGTACAGCTTTCTAGGGTTTCATATTTGTACCCAACTCTTTTCCTAGTTCATTCATTCCTCATTTCTTCACATGGTATAGAGCAGGTTCCCTAGTGGAAACTTTTCCTTGGGCCCACCACTAATTTTTTTTTCTGCCCTGAGATCGAGTCGCCCCTGACCGAGGCGCGTCCTGTGGGCCGCCCTCCCCTTAGCGGCCCGTCGCGCCGCCCTTAGCGGCCCCACTCACGGCCCCCACTCACGGCCCCGTCGCCACCCTTAGCGGCCCCGTCGCCGCCCCTTGCGGCCCGGCCACCCTCTCGCGGCCTCGTCGCCGCCTCCGCGGCCCACCCGCCGCCCTTCGCGGCCGCGTCGCCGCCCTTTCGCGGCCCTGTCGCCGCCCTCCAAGCGGCCCCGTCGCCGCCCTCTAGCGGCCTCGCCGCCGCCCTTCAGCGGCCCCGTCGCCGCCCCACTGCGGCCCCGCCGCCGCCCCTCAGCGGCCCCGTCGCCGCCCTACCGCGGCCCCGTCGCCGCCCTCTAGCGGCCCCGCCGCCGCCCCTCAGCGGCCCCGTCGCCGCCCTACCGCGGCCCCGTCGCCGCCCTCTAACGGCCCCGCCGCCGCCCTTCAGCGGCCCCGTCGCCGCCCTACCGCGGCCCCGTCGCCGCCCTCTAGCGGCCCCGCCGCCGCCCCTCCGCGGCCCCGTCGCCGCCCTCTAACGGCCCCGCCGCCGCCCTTCAGCGGCCCCGTCGCCGCCCTACAGCGGCCCAGTCGCCGCCCTCCAGCGGCCTCATCGCCGCCCTACAGCGGCCCCTTCGCCGCTCTGTGCGGCCCCTCACCGGCCCTGCCGCCGCCGTCGCTGAGCCGCCGCAGCTGCAGCCGAGCCGCCGAGCCGCCACCGAGCTGCCAGGCCGCCGCCGAGCCGCCGCCGAGCCGCCGAGCCGCCGCGCCGCCGCCGAGCCGCCGCCGAGCCGCCGAGCCGCCGCCGAGCCGCTGCTGAGCCGCCGAGCCGCCGCCGCCGCAGCTGCGGCCCTGTTTCTGCCGGCGCGCCCCGGCCCTCCCCACCCGGACTGGTGAGAGCTTTCCCGAGCAGCGTCTCTGCCACTGCACTACCTCTAGCCTGCCGCTCTCACCACTAGACTGCTGTTGTCATGGCTACCCCCAGTGTCCTTACCTTTGATGCTGAGGGTCGGGCTGTTGACTTTGAGGTCTGGGTCGATGACTTGCAGCTTTTCCTACAGTGCGATAGGGCAGACGGTCTCTCCCTTTTCGATCTCACGTCTGGTGCCTCTCCTGCCCCGCCTGCTGATGCTGATGCCACTGTTCGCTCACAGTGGGCCACGCGCGATGCTGCTGCTCGCCTTGCTGTGCGCCGCCACTTACCGACCGCTGAGCGCGCGCATTTTAGTCAGTACAAGAGTGCTAAGACCTTGTACGGCGCTGTCGTTGCACGCTACTCTTCCCCTGCCACTGCTGCCCTTAGCCGCCTCATACTGCCGTACCTCTTCCCTGACCTCGCCGCTTTTCCCACAGTCGCTGACCTCATTACGCACCTTCGCACTAGTGACATTCGCTACCGCGCTGCGCTTCCTGCTGAGTTCTGCGCCAAGACCCCCCCCCCTATGTACATCACCCTCTACTACATAGTCACCCGGCTCCCTGACACCCTTCGCTCGGTCAGGGACCACTTCCTCTCTGTTTGCCCCACCACCCTCACCGTTGACCTCCTCGAGGAGCGCCTCCTAGCAGCAGAAAAGAGTATAGTCGCTGTAGGAGCCTCTCGTGGTGACCCTCGTACCCCTGTCTTTGAGGGGTGCTCCCCCTCCCCCCTCTTGCCCTCTGTTGCCTCTGCTGCTGCGGCCGACCTCGTTGGTCTTGAGTCGGTCGGCGCGGCGTCTGCCCCTAGCGGGAGACGCCGCCCAGGCAAGGGCAAGGGGGGCAAGGGCGCTGGAGGGGCTGGCGGGGGCGGTGGAGGCGGCGGTGGAGGCGGCGGAGGGGGTGGGGGTGGCGGTGGGGGTGGTGGCGGGAGTGGGGGCGCTAGTGGCGGCAGTGGAGGCGGAGGAGGCGGCGGTGGTGGCGGTGCGAGCGGAGGTGGTGGAGGTGGAGGCGGTGGAGGAGGTAGCGGCGGCGGAGGTGGAGCTGGTCGGGGCGGCTCTTCGCAGAGGGTCGGCTCCGGTGGTGGTCAGCGCCAGCAGCACCAGCAGCAGCGCACTCGTGAGACCCCTTCCCCCCAGCAGCTTCGTGAGTGGTACATTGCTCGTCAGCGGGGTGGGGGTGCTGGCCCCTGTACCTACGTTCTACGTACAGGCGACCGCGTGGGTGAGCAGTGTGGGGGTCTGCACTCCACCCAGCGCTGCTTCGGCCGCCTGACGGACGCTTGGCGTAATCAGTTCCCCGACGCTACTGAGATCCCTCGCTGGGGCGAGCTGTCTAGGGCGGGTGTTGCTATCTTTGATCTTGATTATGATGCTATTCTTGCTGCAATGTATGCTGTGACTATTAGTGATGAGGGTGACTGTTACCGGTGTTTTCCGCCTGACCCGGGCATTGAGGCTGCTGCTCTAGGTGCTGGTGAGGCTGCTGCTCTAGGTGCTAGTGAGTCTGCTGCTCCAGGTGCTGGTGAGTCTGCTGCCCCAGGTGCTGGTGAGTCTGCGCTCTCAGGTACCGCGTCGGCTCCGGCCACCCACACCTTCACCCTTGACTCGGGTGCTTCCCGCTCCTTCTTTCGAGACCGCACCACGCTTACGCCGCTTAGTCGGCCAGTGGCAGTCTCCCTGGCAGACCCCTCTGGGGGTCCTGTCCTTGCCCACTTCTCCACTGTTCTACCGTGTCCGGCGGCCCCTTCTGGCACCCTGTCGGGTCTTTACCTCCCCTCGTTCTCTACGAACTTGGTGAGTGGTGCTGACCTCCAGGATGGAGGGGTTCACCAGTTCACTCCTGCGAGTCAGCGAGTGACCCACTGTACCTGTGCTCGGACGGGCCGTCACTTGGCCACGTTTACCCGTCAGCCGGGGTCGAGCCTGTACACACTCACTACTGAGTCTCCTCCGGTCGCTAAGTCTGCTCAGGTAGCCGCGTCGGGTCAGGTGTTTGCTGCGGCGTCCAGGTCTGGTCCTGAGTCTGCCCCCTGCTCGTGTCATCTCCTGTCTCACCAGACTCTCCTCTGGCACCACCGCCTTGGTCACCCCTCCCTGCCTCGTCTTCGAGGCATGGCCTCCCGTGTCCTTGTCTCTGGTCTCCCCCGGTCCCTCCCTCCCCTTCCTTCGGGGCCTGCCCCCACCTGCGTTCCCTGCGTCGAGGGGCGGCAGCGCGCTGCTCCTCACTCCTCCGAGTTTCCTCCGACAGAGGCTCCGCTGCAGACGCTTCACATGGACGTGTGGGGCCCAGCCCGCGTCCGTGGACAGGGTCACGAGCGTTACTTCCTGCTGGTGGTTGACGACTACTCGCGTTACACCGCAGTCTTCCCCTTGCGCAGCAAAAGTGAGGTCACTGAGGTGTTGATCGCCTGGATCCGCGCAGCTCGTCTCCAGCTCAGAGAGAGTTTCGGCTCGGACTTTCCTGTTCTGCGTCTGCACTCTGACAGAGGCGGAGAGTTCTCCTCTGACCTTCTGCGAGCCTTCTGTCGTGCACGAGGCATCCGCCAGACGTTCACGCTTCCGGACTCTCCACAGCAAAATGGGATTGCTGAGCGCCGCATTGGCATGGTCATGGACGTCGCTCGTACGTCCATGGTCCATGCGGCTGCCCCCCATTTTCTGTGGCCGTTTGCGGTTCGGTACACGGCGCATCAGATCAACCTTCAGCCCCGGGTCTCCATGCCAGAGACCTCCCCTGCTTTGCTGTGGACGGGGAAGGTTGGCGATGCGTCTGCGTTCCGTGTCTGGGGATCTCGGGCGTTTGTCCGCGACTTGTCTGCGGACAAGCTGTCCCCTCGTGCTGTTCCCTGCGTCTTCCTTGGCTTCCCCCCTGACGCGCCGGGCTGGCAGTTCTACCACCCCACCTCGCGCCGTGTTCTGTCCTCCCAGGACGTCACGTTTGACGAGTCGGTTCCCTACTACCGTCTCTTCCCCTAC